TTTACTTTAAATTTACATTGAAAATTTCTACAATAGTAGATATTTTAATTATATTAATTAATTGGAGCTTAAATGAAACACCAAATTGAAATTCTGCATTAAGAGTTAAAAAACAATTCAAAGGATATTCTTGGTATTGACTTACATTTCCTTTAAATGAAACAAAAGTCACTGGCACTATTTTTCCAACAATATTTACTCATGCATTTCCATGTTCCTTAATTATGTATGAGGACGAGATGCAAAAACTTTGTGCGTTGTAAAAAGCAAAACAATCTTAGAAACTTACTGTGTCGTAACAAGTATCTCGCAACCCAAGACCTGTGCTCATTTATCTTTGTTTATAATCTTAACAAGTCAACGTAAACAACAAGCAAAAAAATACTGAATAAACATTTTTCCACACCTCTGCGCTGTATCAGCTTCATTAGCTATTTTCCTCCAATTTAATTGGTACGAATGTTTGTCTACACAACAAATATGAGTTTATGTACTTTTAAGTTCCTCAGTACGTTTTCCTGAAGCAAGGTTTCTGAGAATAGTGACTTACAGGGTGTGTATTAATAGCTTATGTTTTGTACAAAATAAAGATAAATTTAAGAAAAGCTAATCGGAGGAATTAGAACCTAAAAATTTTAAAACTTATGCAGACAAGACAGATAAATGTTTAGTGGAATCTCCAGGTATCGCCGTTCTTAAACCTCATCTAGAGATTTGTTTGAATTCGGATCTGATCAGATTTGATGTGATGAAATCTAAATTAAGGTACTGAACCGTTTCCTCAAAATCGCGGAATCTCTATGTCTTGGAATCTTCAAGCGTTTATCATTAGCTGCAGCTTTAAAAATTACGTGTGTAGAGATTTATTTGAGTTCAAATCTGATTAGATTTAATATGAGAAGTAGATATGTCTGAGGAAAAAGGAAAGTTGTATATTAAAGAAAATGAAATAAGTCCCTATGAAGGTATTGAATCCCGATTCCTGAAATTTATAGAACATGAACAAACAAGATGGGCAAATATTTCAATCCGTATTTTATAGAATCCTTGTGTTGGTAATATTTAATTTTATGTTTGAAAGTTTGAAGCTTAAGAGTAACGCCTCTAGAAACTTGTCTGAGTACAAGTGTTCTTAGGTTTGATTATGGATGCAGATATGTATGAGAAGACTTTTTTTTTTCTTTATGTTTTAAAGAGAATTAAATAAGTCCTTATGTATATACTAGAATTATTCCTTAAAAAAATCATATTTTTTCTCAGAATGCTAAAGTGATTCTCCGCAAACTTCTTAAATAATCTCGCCCTGTATTTTTAATATGGTGTTCATTTATAAGAAAAACAAAACTATAGGCAGGTGCGAGACAAAGCCATGGAAAACCTTTTTATGTTCGTGTCATGTCATTTTACATAAGTATCTATGTGTTTTATATAGCATTAAATACTGTTGTACTTTTAAGAAAAGTCAAATATAAAAGCAACTTCCAGCATCTCCGTCGGGTTACTTAACGCACACACATTTATTGTTATTAAGGTTAATGTGCACTTGCAGACAATCCTAATTAGGCAAATTTGTGACATGCCAAGTAGCATTAGTAAAGTTAGTTTTCCTAGAATGCAAGGTATTAAAGCAGGCAGGTCTTAATTATTAGAACTACAAAAAGAAAAAGCAAATATTTTGATAATAAAGTTTATAGAAGAATTAATTTCTAGCAAACATTAATAAAATGCAAAATTGTGTCAACGCTTTATTCATAGTTCTAATAAATATAAATATTAATAATAATGTCAAGATCCACAAGATCTTTTAGGAATTAATAATTAAAATTAATAAGAAAAAACTCTAAACTGTGACTTCTAACACCCATTTTTGGTTTAATAAATTCAAGAAAGGATTAGGCATTTTATTTTTTGTCTGATGTCTTGTTTAATAAATAACATATCAACTGATTATTGCACTAATAGACATATTGAAGAAGACACCCCGGAGTAAAAGTTATATCCTATAGGATGCACTTGAAAACGCTCGTTCAAAATACCCACATGAAGACTGTCTATGAATTACAGTTCCCAAAAGATTTTTTGTTGGACCATGAAAGTCTTAACTTTATATTATTTGCTTTGTCTTTGTTAGATTCCTTGTCAGATTTGACATATCTGATTCGATTATGTTATAACCACAAAAATTTTGTTGTAGTTAATGGCTTTTGGTGTACTCACATAACAAAAACAAGGGAGAAATTCCACATACCTGACAAGTCACACAGATTAAGGCAGGAATGCATCATAGATGCGTGAAAATATTTGTGTTTTTAATGCAAGAAACTTGGCTTAATCACGTCACCAATAAAAAAGAGGATATAGTTTTGAGACTCAAACTCTTCCAAAAGCATTTAAGCATATTGTGCATTGGATGTAATTGTTCTTTTTTAATCAAATTTTTTTTTTATATTAAACTTTTATTGCATATTAACAACACCTTCTTATGTTAGTTTCTACATAAACTGCCATCTGAGTCGTAGAGAAATAAAATACCAAGAAGATCGACGAAGCAAGATTGACACTTTTATTTGATGAGATTACGAGGATATCAGCTATTAAAACCTACTGATTAGCGTTTATAACCTGCAGTCGATCTTAGGATATATTATTACAGCTTAGCTTAAATGAATTTTTTGGAAGATTAAAGTTAACTAAATTCTATGTCCAATTGTGTAGTCCTGGAAATCGAAGTGGACTCCTTTCAAAAAATGGAAGCAACTTCATCAGATGTTTTATAATGACACAGCTAAGTTAAAGTTATCTTTGGTGAACCGGCAAGAAACAAGTGACCAGGAAAAGTGACCAGGACACTACATTTTGCTAACATTGAACTAATAGATTTTAATTTTTTCAATAACATCTTATTTTAACTGATAAAAGAAATTTAGTTCAACACTAAAAATCCATATACTCGTATTATTATTCTGAGTACTTATTCATATTAATAATGCCATAAATTTTGATATTTAAAAGTACATGTTTGATGCAACCTTAAAGCAAAATTTTATTTTCTCTTATGCGATATCATTTTAAAACTTTATATTATTTAGCATATCATTGTCTCATGCAATATTTTAAAAACTGACTTTCCTAATAAAACATTTTCGCTATGCATCAACCACATCAACCAACCCCATCTAGACAATCTTCCAGCATTGTTTATTGTTGTTTATTGTTCCACATTTCCTGGCTACAACATAATTTTTGGGTGCTTTCCACATTCAATTGTGACACTCGATACCGCCTAACGCATAAAGTTTTCCTATTAAAAATCGCCGAACTCTTTCCTGTACCGTCGCACAAACGCTCAACATTTGCGTTGCAGCAGAACATGTCGCAAGCGTCAAGTGGCAAGTGGTAAGACGCATATCGTCGTATGTCACTGCATTGTGTGATAATCTTTATTGCTGCAAGACGCCGCACAAATGCGTCATAAAAAGCAATAACAATAAAAATGCGTTAAGAAAAATAAAAGCGTAAACAAGAAACGAGGGTCTTGGGATTGTTTGGGTTGTTTGGGTTGACTTGGTGGTGACATTTCTTTTACGGGTTGTACCCGAAACACTGGGTTAAGTGATATGTATATAACCCCACCATTCTCATGCAAACAGTTATATTAAAGCATAAATTATTTATGCCAAGGGAATCAACTCCAAAAGCTGCATGCAAAATAAAAACAATATTAGAGAGCATGTATGAGTATTAAAAATAAAATAATAATAGAAAATTTGATGTATTGCGGAAGGAAAAGTTGTAAATGAGGGGGAAAAAAACTTCAGTGTAGGAAATAAAAATATTATATTTGATATTTGTGCAGTTTTTTATGCAGAACGATGATGTGCGTAGAGGTTAAGATTCAAATCTGAATAATTTTTTCATGGTACAAGTATATGAGGAACTAAAATCAAATTGATAAAAATATTGCTATCACACAATGAAGACTAAATATTAAGAACATATAAGTTTTCAATCTCTAAAAAAAAGCGTGCTTAACTATTAATTTATGCAGTTTAAAAAAATCAGCTCACATAAAGCAATAATACATATTATTAAATTTTTATAATAAACCCACAGATAAAATAAAAATAAAAACATAATAATTTGCAGTAAAAAGAAGTATAGGACGCAATAGAAACGAGTAGAAAGTTGATGAACAATGTAGTGAACGTTTAAAAAATGAGCGAATTGATGTAGCAACAAATAAAATACCAGAGCAATGTGTTGTTCACATTAACGCAAGCCATGTTTAAGCAGTTAATACAGTTGAGATAAATTAACCACAGCATATGTTTAATATATTTCAGTTAATATATTTTATTTCTTTTGTTTGGTAAATGAATATTTATAATCCAATATAATATTAATTTTAATTTCACTGTTAAAGTGTATTAAATTTATTTAATGCTCACGTCTGCAGCTCCATGGTTGCACTATACCATAGTCGAAAATATTTTTTGTATAAATTTATGAAGATGTTAGACCCAAAAATATTTATGAAGTATAAGGTGAAGTGAAGTATCCAAGGCAATGCTTAATAAACTATGGATTAATTTTCAATTTATATGTCTAGATATGTATATATTTTAACTCTTTTAAATACTATTTCATTATTTTTTAATAATTAATTTATTTCTAAATATTTGTAATAAGTTTTTTATTTAAATTTTAATGCTTGTGCTTTGTTTGTTTTATCACAAAAATAAGTTCAATTTATATTTCTTTGTGAAATTATTTTATTTATTGTAAACTAAGCCATTACAAATTTATTGAAAACATAACTTAGACTAATTAATGAATTTACTAATTAAAACATTTTCTTCTTTTCCATTAATTTTCTCTTTCGCTCTTTGTGTCTGTCTCCTGCACTCAATCCTCACACCAAACTGAAACTAACTATACTTAATCCTCACACAACATTTTTTGTATGATTTTCTTTTATGCAACAAAAGTATATATTGCAGACCCCGATCTAATACTACCACGCGGCGAATTGGAATTCACCACACTGGATCCGACGCTTAAGTAATATGAATGTACATTACGCGAGCAGCAAGAGTTGTAAGAATAAAATTCAAAACTTAAACTTAAGTGAATTAAATATTAGTAACTTTTTTATAAGTACAATAAATAAAAAAAAGAAAAAATTAATTAGTTAAGTAATTTAATTTATAAATTAAAATAATATAATAAAATTTACAAAACAAAAAAAAACTTAATATAGTAAAAATATATGTATAATATTATATGTAAAATGTTAAGCAGAAAACTAATTATAATTAATGTTAACAGCAGTAAAAATGTTTCACTAAAGAATAGTTATTAAAATTAAGTATATAAGTATTAATCATATACGATTATATATATATGTATGAATTAGAATTTACAACTCTAAAATTCTGTATTCACTTTTTCCGCTTCAATTTTTATTGCCGCTACTGTAATTAAAACGCCTGAAATGTATAAATATTTTATTAAAAATCAGTTAAATTTTTCTTAAACTTAAAAAGTCTGCCTATAATGAAATATATATATAGTATATAGAGTTGTACATATATAATTTTAATTATACACTTACTTTGTTAGAGACGAACTTAGTTTTAAACTAAAGTTTTTATGCGCTAGCATTTTATTGTTAATTATATAGTTAAATACTTAAACAAATTATTTGTAAATATATTTTCACTCAAACTACTTTACAGTACTTTACAATATTAAACAAATCAAATCTTTTTTAAAACAACAACAAAAATCAAAAGTAGTTTAAATATACTAAAAAATAAGTTGTAAATAAATAAAGTTTTTGTATGAAGTAAACAAAAAACAAAAAACAACAAACAACAAACAATAAAATTAAAACCAAAAAACCATAAAACAATAATAAAATATTTAAAACTTATCTTTACATTTCAAATGAAATATAAAACCAAAAAAATAAAAGATATTCAAAACTAAAACGAATTGTTGAGGGATTCACCAAACAATACGGCAAACCATTTCAATGTGAGAGAATAGAACGTTGTTTAAAATATATAAATACATAAATCCTTAAATAAATAAAATAAAATAATATATATATAATATGTATTTTTGAGATTTCAACAAAATACATTCTATGTACTGTATGTAAAATTTAGTCTAAATACAAATATACATAAAATGAATCTGTAATGAATCTATAATGTGTAAGTCATAAAAGGAATTCAAGATAAATAGATGATAACAATACAATAAGCCAAGAAACTAAGAAACCAAGAAACCAAATAATGAAAAATCGTTCAACTAAAACACTAAACGCATTAACCAAAACTGATTAATTTAAGTTTCTATATAGTCATCAATCATCCGATCGGAAACGTCATTCATTGAATTCGTACTAAGAAGCTAATAATTTGAAAAATGATGAGTGTGTTATTTCATAATTACTAATTATATAGTACATAATATATAAGCTAAACTAAATTTAACAAAACAACTCGATTTAATATAAAGGATATTAAAAGGATTGTAAACTCAATTGAATTTTACTTAAGTTGTTGTCTTAGCTTTTGGAAGCTCAAAGCTGCAATGGCGGTTAAATACAAAATTCAAAAATATTTAACATTATAAAAAATTTAATATTAAGAAACTAATAAATTGAATTTAAAAGGATAATGTGAACATGACTTTCCTTAATGTTTATTATTGGTATGAAATAGTGAGGACATTATTACAGTATTAGATCACATTACACCGAACCTATTTATAGAGCACTGTTATAATGTTTACTATATTTCCGACGATTTAACTGCCCGTCATTTGTATTTCACCGATATGCAAAAATAAATCAGTCTACAGTCAGGGTTTCACCGAAGGACTCACTAATATTTCTTCTTACCTCAAAAAATCGTAAGTATACAGTCAGAGTGTGTCTCACAACTTCGATCTCTTCTGTGCATGTAGAACCGTAGAAAACTTTTTCAAATTAAAGGCGATGAAGGTACTGAATGTGAAGCAGCTTTACCCACTAATTATGTGTATAAGGTGGAAGTCTACATCGGAATGTGTTAATTCACTGACATATTAAGATTCAGAATTAAGATCAGAACGTGTATCCATCAACTCCGCATTAAGTTATTCCCCCTGTGTTGGCATTCTGTAAGGAGTGCTTAATTTCTCTTGATGTAGTCTGTCAGCATCCCCGAGCTATTTTCTGTTGTAACTCCAGCAAATAGATTGGAGACAACGAGGCTATTAAGGAGGTAGTGTCAGTTGACATAGTTCGGAACCATCTGCTATTCGCAATGCATTGAAGCGGTAAGATGAACACGTACCTAACAAGTATGACGGCATAATCATCAACTTACAGCATTATTGAGTATGTAATTTTGACTACCAGTTTGTATATGTGGATGTGTATTTTCCCTGTGTAGATCATGATTCTAGACAGAGCATTTTTTTGCTGCGGCAGCTTTACCATTGACTATATGGTCCCACTTTATGGTCCTTTAAGAAAAGTATTATTTTTTTTTTTTGACAGTAAGTGGAAGCATCGAAAGCCACCGTGTGCGACTTGAACCCACTAAACCACCTCTTAGGAATGAATGGAGAAGATTTCCACAGCATTTTGAAAACTTCATTCCAGTAATCAGGGGAGAGAGAAGAAAAAATAGACTTAGTACCTAGCGAACTAGTTTTATCTAAGCCAGAAAGCAAGGGCGTATTGTATTGTAAAAGTGTTCTATATGTTATATCAATAATATATACACAATATATCTATAATATTCTCCAACCAACTCAAACATGGTATTGAATATGTTGTGCATCTTTTGCATTGGGATAAATATGTTATGTATACTTTTCTTTCGAGTACTGATAAGAACTGCTTCTTCCGTTTTGCCAGTGAAATAGAATGTACATTGTTTTTAGCCACAACTACTAGCACAAAGTCATCCGCATATGCTACATTATTGGTTGAGATGTTTTTCGTTTCTTAACCACGCGGAAGTTATTTACAAATATATAATATATATGTATATCTATTAGTCCC